TTACAGGGGTAAATGCAGGCACCCACAAGGTTTAAATGGTTTGTCTTGTTGTTTTTACCTCCTAGGAGTGAAGATCACCTTCATTTTTCTCTCATCTCCTGGTAGGGCTAATACACTCTGGGGATTGTGAGATGTCCTGGTGCCCTTGACGTCCCCCTTTGCCCACCTCTGGCCCTCATGCACCCAAACTGATGAGTATGTGTTGTGTGCAAAAGTTGAGTTTGCTCTGTTCCCTATTTTCTAATGATCTTGAGACAGAGGTGTGAACAATAAGGAGAGGGCATGCTCAATGGCACAAATCCCCAAGGAAGTGGGAGGGGTTGGGACCCAGATTCCAGTGGGAAGGGCGAGCCCCAAATAAGACTTCTCTTCTCTGAGACTCAAGGAAAGAATAGTGTGGGTAGAGACAATGTTGGAGGTGACAAGAAAGGAAGTGTTCACCTAACAGCTTCCGTTTGCTCTAAACGCAAGAGTTCTTAACCCAGGGTCCAAAGCCCCTTAGGAGTCTGTAGAGAAAATTCAAGGAGCCCATGGACTTAGATGGGGGGGAAATTGTATCTTTATTTTCAAATGTAGCACGTCCTTCTAGGGTATGTGGGTAACACACTACAATTGTATTAGCAGTACCTGTGGCTTTGTCACCAACAGAAATCAGATTTTCATAGCATATCATGGTTGTTGCTGATCTCTCAAAATAACATAATTATTTTGAAATCATGGAAGTCACTAGACCTGTTGATAGAGCTTGGTATTTAATGTATTAGTAAAGAAGCACACATTACAGATGTGTTTCTTATTATTTTGGTAATTGTTTTTCTTTTGTAATCCTATTTATCTGATGCATGCATTACTCTGTGAAGGGGTTCCTTAGACTTCACCTGACTACCAGAGGTGTCCACAGCATAAAAAAGGCTAAGAGACACTGCTCTGAAGAGTAACAGTAGCTAACATTTACATAGCTCTTGCTAAAGGCCAGATACTGTTCTAAGTACCTGTCTTTTTTCTTATATAGTTGTTAACTCATGTATTCCTAACGACCCTACAAGGTAAGTGCTTTGGTTATACCCATTTTACAGAAGAGGAAACTGAGGCACAACAGTTAAGTAACTTTCCCAAGGTCATTAAGCTAGAAAATGATGGAGCTGAGATTCAAACCCAGGCCTTCTAGCTTCAGAGTCTGTGCCGAAAAGTCAAGGAGTTGATTTGGTAGAATGCCAAGGGGCAAATGGGTTGAGGGTGCTGGTGAGAATGGGTAAGGAGAGAGGGGGAATGAGAGAGGGTCTACACTGGCCAGAAGAAAAGTAGAAAGAGGCTGCTAGGCTCGAAGAAAATGGAAAGGCCCACAGAACAACAGAGTTCAAGGAGATAAAAGAAGTGGTGGAGGGGAGGAGACGGGAGATAACTGGGAGAACGTGGTCAGAGTGAGAGAGGGTGGCGTATAGATGCTGGGGAGGTAGGGGAGTCATTCCAGGGCATGACAAGGTTAACAATGTGGCTTAGACAGAGGTGGTTAAAATAGAGAGGAGGTAAAGGTCAGTGGAGTCAAGCAGATGAAGGAATCATGAAGCTGGACCCACAAATTCTCCCAAGATTGATTGATTGACTCATTCATTCATTTGCATTGAGTGTCTAGTACATGCCAGGCAGTGTTCTTGGCATTGGGTAGTGTAGGGGAGGAAGACATTTCCTCTTCCCAAATCTGGGTTCGTCTGGCCGGAGAACGAATTAAATTCACATGAGACAGAATAGCAAGAGAAAATTAAACAAAGCTTTATGAGGAACCATGGCCCGGGGCCTTTCTTCCCAAAGGAAGAAAGGGCACCGAAGAAGTGGGGTGCACAGAGTGGTTATATACCCCCAAACAGGGTGTTTCACATGTGATTGAAATGTCCCTCCCACAATAGTCACAAGATTGCCCTGTCGGCACAGTGCTTGATGGACACTGCAGGTAATGGTCTGCTATCTCGGTGGGCGTAGCCGGAGGCAAGTCTATTGTCTGGAGCTGGGCGGTCACAGGTGAGTGCAGCAATCAGTTCCTTCCCTAAGGAAAGATGCTTAATCCTTAAAGAAATGCCAACGTTGGGAGGGGGAGGGAAGTCAGTTACAGGAGGTTACCAGAGAAGCACAATAAAATGCAGATTTTAAGTCCTTGCCTTTGGTATTGATTAAGAGTTTCTAGAGAGAAGATCATCTCTTTTCTTCTTCCTGGTAGAGAAAGGGAGGCACCTTTACAGATAGAGATTTACCTTACAAATGTAAATATGTCCTAACAAAGGGCAAGTTCCATTCCTCAGAGCCTCCTTCCCTGTCCCAGTTTATCAAAAGCAATGAGCCTCAAATAATCCTGATGCCAAAGAGACATATCTTGGGGTGGCCAATTTCAGGTCCCCACAGTAGCCAAGAGGTAGACCAGCAAGACAAGACTCTGCTGTCATGGGGCTTACCTTCCAGCAGAAGGAGAACTACATGAACATGCACACAAACAAGGCCAGGTTAGACAAGGCTCCGAAGTCTTCAGGCACAATTCCACAATGCCAAAAGTCCCGGAAAGCATAAGGTTGTTTTTTCATGCTTTGGAGCCCAAACTCATTAGGTGACAAAGCCTAACCTGAAGTAGCATGAGGCTATTTATTACCCTGATTCACACTTAGTGTGAATTTTCATACTTTTCACTCTAGAAATATTAATGTTTAATTATAAGTGATACACCAGGCCTTTCTCTGTAGTTATGTAATATAGAGTGATGCAGGGTTGGTGAGCCGAGGAGTAGAAAGAAAGATTTCTTAGACTCTCAAGATCTGGCAGGAGTGCTCTTTTATTTAGAGAATAGTGTGGAATAGCATGGGGACAGGACCCATGGGCAGGCAGAGCTGGTGCGTGGGGACAAGACCCACGGGCAGTCAGAGCTCCTGCTGCTGCCCTGAGTTGAGGGTTAGGGCTAATTTTATAAGGCATGGGTATGTGAGTCATTTCTTTACAAGATAAAGGAAAGAACATGAAAAAAAAGTTAAAATGGTACCAGTGCAGGTGGGGTCTGGTCATTGGGTGATCCCATGACTTTTAGACAAGAATCAAATCGGATTAAGTAAAGGTTAGAAAGGTTAGAAGCCACCACCCTAAATCAGTTACATGAGATTGCCAGACAGCAACCAACTTAAGTTCTTGCCTCTGGCATTAAGAGTTTCTAGAGATAAGGCCATCCCCCTTCTTCCTGGCACAGAGAGGGAGGCATCTTTACAGATAGAGGTTTCCCTTAGAAACGTAAATCTTTCCCAATAAAGGGACAAGCAAGCAAATTCCACTCCTTGGAGCCTGCTTCTCATCTGTAGTTTTAAAAGTAACCAGCCTAAAAGTCCTTATCACAAACCGTTTTAAAATTAAGCAGCCTAAAAATCCTCATCATAGAGTATATGCAGTATATAGAGTTATATAATATAGGGTATATGTCTTCCTCTCTAAAATTGAAGAAATTCTGAATTCCAAAACATATCTGGCCCTAAGGTTGGAAAAAAGATTATGGACCTGTAAGTGCTACGCAGAGAATTTAAATATTCAATGGAATAGGTGGCTACACCTTGAGGGGTTAGGGAAGGTAAGTGACATTTAAGCTCAGTTCTGAATGACCAAAAAAAGGCATTCTTACAAAGATCAGGGGGAGAGCATTCCAAGCAGAGGCAACAGCTAATGCAAAGATGAACACAAAGAGAACACTGTGGCTGAAACATATTGGGCCGGAAAAAGAATGCTCTAAATTGTTGGGAGACTTCATGCAGTCAGGAAGATAATGAATCTGCTGCTACATCCTTTGATGAATATGGCGTAGTGACCATGTGTGTGATGGCTGTCAACAACTAGGAGACCCAGAGGGAAGTCTTCCCGGGTGGGAAAGCGTGTGGAGGGATACTGTAGATAAAGAAAACATAAAGCTGTATGGGGCTGAAAACGTAGACTAAGATGTATGAGCTGAAGAATTGGTTTGGGGAAAAGTACAGAAAGGGTTCGGACTAGGTGGATTAGATGGATTCAAGATTCTAACTGGGACTGGGTTGAAAGATAGTCTAGGGTGACCAAAGATATGGGTCTTGAATGACAATCTCTGGTTAAAGACCAGTCTGCAATGTGTGATCTGGGCTTTTGGGTCTAAAATAGGTTAGACACAGACAAAGGATAGTAGTAAAGGCTGAAATGATGAAAGATGTTTTTGCTTCTCTGTTTATGTCTCTCTGGGCTTGTGCTTCTCAGCAGCTCTGTCTCGGAATGTCTGTCTCCTAACATTTCTGTCTCCTAGTGACTTTCCACATCCATATCTCTGTGATCCTGCCTGACGTCTCTGTTCCTCTCTATCTCTGCCTCAACATATTTCTCTCTATGTGGCTCTCAGAATCTCCATCTTTGGATAGCCATGTCTGTGTCCCAGAAGCTGCAGCTGTCTCTTCCTTTGTGTCCGTACTGAAATTCTCTCTTCCCAAGTGAACAATGCCCTCCTGGAAGGCAATGAACCTATTATTCCTCTGGGTATCCCCAGTGCCCCCTACTGAGCCTGGCATATAGGAGTCTCTAGGATATGTTTATACTTGAATGAAGGCTTTTTCTGAGGAGTAAGGAACCCACTCAATCTCCTATCCCCCTTTCCCCGCTCCCCGGAGTTGGCCACCTGGCCAAAGGCCAGCTAAAGAGTGGAGCGGAGGGCGGGGCGGTATTGTGCTGCCGCTATTGGGTTCTTCCCCAGGTGAAATAACAAACAACACTCTTGGGGCACTTTGCTAGGGCCTTGGCCTCTGGGCAGGGGACCAGAGCCACCGACACTTGCCAGAACAACCCGAGCTGCGGATCACCCGCCTCGCCGGCCCCGCCCCGCGGCTCCGCCCGGGCCAATCAGCGAGCGCCCCAAGGCCCCGCTTGTGGAGAGCCCCGCGCAAGATGGCTGCCGCGAGTCGGAGTGTGAAGGTAGCCGGGTTTTCTCCCCTGCTGCTCGCTCGGCTGCACTGGCTAGGACCGCGCGGCGGTGGGACTAGGGGGAAGGATTGGTGCTGGGAGAAAGCGTCACTCTTATCTAGGCCTGGTATTGCGGCGGTTGGGCTCTGGAGGTGAAGGGCAGCTCTCCGCGGCATGTGTATGTGGAGTGACTGGGTGGGCCGCCTGGAGATGAGACACCCATCGGTAAGGAGAGGAGACGCACCTGGGTCACTCTGCAGGGGTGACCAGAAACCTCCCTCACAGAGGCCTGGAGAACCGGCAGATGAAAGGGTGGGAGTGGTCTGCACAGTGTAACCCTTGACTGTGCCCCTCTTCACAGGGCCTGGTTGCCGTCATAACCGGAGGAGCCTCGGGCTTAGGCCTGGCCACGGCGGAGCGACTGGTGGGGCAGGGGGCCACTGCTGTGCTTCTAGACCTGCCCAACTCGGATGGGGAGACCCAGGCCAAGAAGTTAGGGAAGAGCTGCGCCTTCGCCCCAGCCGACGTAAGTGGAGTCACTTCGTGTGCATAGGTCACGGACACCGGCCTGGGAACCCGTGGGATGCTCTCTCATAAGAGTGTGGGCAATGGACCCATTTCCCTGTCCGTTTTGGCTTGAACCGTCCGTCAAGCACTGTGGGGGCACCTGCGATAAGGAATCTCTAAAGCTGGGATTCACAACCGTGGGGATGGGACATATCAGAATCTCCTGGAGAGGGTGTGTATAGTTTGGAAATGCATATTATGCCCTGTAATTTTATGTTTACAAAGTCAAAACACTTTTCATGAAATAAACTACAGAAAGTAAAGCTTTATGAAATCATCTTAGCAGGTAGGGTTAGGAAAAGCTAGTTTATCTTTATATCTAATTCTCAAAACTGCTTTGATCGACAGCAATTGAGACTCTCCAGGGGTATGTGAGTTTATCAAAACAGGGGATAGATTTGAAAAATGTTTTGAAACACTGCTCTATAGTACCTAACATTTTCACCTTTGCCCCACTCTGGAGTTTTCTCTCTTGGCCTCTCCTTTGCTTACATAATTCTGTTGTCACTCAAACACTGGACCACCCCTCCCCTCCCCCCGGGTTTAGTGGTGAGTGTATGTGCTGCGAGGTGAAAACCTCCACTTTTCCCTTTGAAGGTGACCTCAGAGAAGGACGTGCAAGCAGCCCTGACTCTAGCAAAAGAAAAGTTTGGCCGTGTGGATGTGGCAGTCAACTGTGCAGGCATTGCAGTGGCCATCAAGACATACAACTTAAAGAAGAGCCGGGCCCATACCTTGGATGACTTCCAGCGAGTTCTCAATGTAAGGCCTTGGACGTTCTCCAGGGTAGGAGTAAGAGGTATCAGGCTGTGGGTGCCCCCAAGGGCTTTTAGGGGACAAAAGTCTGCCTTTGCTTTAGGTCTTACGCTATGGCTCTACTTGTCCTCCAGGTGAATCTCGTAGGCACCTTCAATGTGATCCGCCTGGTGGCTGGTGAGATGGGCCAGAATGAACCAGATCAGGGAGGCCAGCGTGGAGTTATCATCAACACTGCCAGCGTGGCTGCCTTTGAGGGCCAGGTATGTGGGCAGGGTCAAGGCTAGTGCCTTCTTGATGACTTGTTGGGGCCTTCCTACCTATGACTTCTCCTCCTTCTCCAGGTTGGACAAGCTGCATACTCTGCTTCCAAGGGGGGCATAGTGGGCATGACACTGCCCATTGCTCGGGATCTGGCGCCCATGGGCATCCGGGTGATGACCATTGCTCCAGGTAGACATATCCCTTCCCTGCCACACCTGGGATTGGGTGAGATTCATGGGCAATAGAGAGGGGAAAGTATTCACCACCTGAGCAGCAGTAGCCTTCCATCTCTGGACATATGGAAGCACCCAAGTAGGGCTAAGGTGAGGAGGGACTGGGTAAATGTGGAAGCAATGATGGTCCTCTGACTCTGGCTGTCTTGTCTAGGCCTATTTGGCACCCCACTGCTGACCAGCCTCCCAGAGAAAGTGCGCAACTTCCTGGCCAGCCAGGTGCCCTTCCCGAGCCGACTGGGCGACCCTGCTGAGTATGCTCATCTGGTACAGGCCATCATTGAGAACCCATTCATCAATGGAGAGGTCATCCGGCTGGATGGGGCCATCCGCATGCAGCCTTAAAGAGGGCAGAGAAAACACATGGTCCTCTGCTCCTCCTTCCACTGGAGTATTATACTCCAGCTTGGGAGGAAGCCCAGTAGCCATTTTGTGACTGCCCACCAGTCACCCTCTGTGCCTAATAAAGTGTCTATTTCTCATAGGGAGTGGGCAGTGCTGTGTGCTGAAGGAACTGGCATGGGGAAGAAAGGTGATTGGGTGAAGACTCTGACAGGGTTGGATGCTCAGAGCCCAGGGGTAGGGTGGGAAAGGCAGTACCTCACACCTTTTGTGTCCTTTTATAACACATGGCCTTGATTCTAGTGAATAACTTTATTACCTAGGGTCGAAGGTGGGGATATTGGCTCAGCTCTCTCCTTCTGGGGAATGGATTGGGGAAGGGGGTCTGCAGCATTTTCCTCTCTTACTCCTGGCCTCTGTGAGCTTGATGAGGGAGAAGGGAGAGATGACCATCCTGAGCTCAGCGGCTGCTGGTGTTGAACTGTAGGTGATATTGGGCTGTAGGTTGATTGGTGTAGATTATTGAATTCAGATAATTCTGCCTGTGAAAGAAGTCCAGAGGCCTCAGCTGATGGGCTTTCCCTCTTTCCCTGTCCCTTGCCATCCCCCCTCCCTTTGGCATTTATTCCTGCTGCCACCCCAGAACTCACTGGGCATTTTGCTCCTTAGCCAGCTGCTGGTTGAAGGAACCCAGCCCCCTCCGAAATTCAGCACACAGTTCCCTCTCCTGCTCTTCTAGCTCCATTGCTGCCTGGGCTGAGCGCATGGCCTGGCTTTCCCATTCAGCATCCAGTGCTTGTTCAGCCTGGCGCTGTGCCTCCTTTTCAGAGTGTTGTGCCTCTTGGACTCTCCTGATGGCAGGTTGCTGCTCTGGAATCATACCTTTCCAGCAATAGGGCAGGACCCAGTGGGGAGCCATAGGGTGTTGGGCGACCTGGGGATTCTCAGTCAGCAGGTCTCTTGTGATCTGGTTCTGGATCTCCATGAGGTTGGCCTCCTGTTCGCACTGATGCTCACAGTGCTGCCGCTCAGCCAGCTCAGCTGCCTGGTGGGCCCCCGAATGTGAGCATTTGGGTGCCCAATCTCAGGGAAGTCTCAGTCACAGGGGAGGGGGGACATGGCCCTACTCTCCTCCATCTCAAGGAGAGAAGGAACAGATATTGCATGGCCTGTGAATGACCTAAGGTGGAGGAAGGGGTGGAATGGGCAGGGAACTTCCCTGCCTTCTGGAAGCCCTTAGACTGAGAGGCTGGGGAAGGGAGGGCAGTGTTCTCAAGTCATCCTGAGTCTGGAGGTGGGGAAGGGCATCTTCTGCCCTTAGAGGACCCTTAGGTGAAGGGGGAGGTCCTCAGGTAGACAAGAAGGCTGGTGTTGATTCGAGAAGTGTTGTGAGGGGAAAGATGTGGCCACGGTTCCCCAGGACTTTGTTCAGGGGGTTTGGGAGAGCCCAGTGTACTAGATCCATCAGGCCCTACCTGGGCTTTGTTGGCGTTGGCCATGGCGGACATCATGGCCACGCGACAGGACTCCTCCAGCTTGGCCAGCTGGGTGGCCCGCATGTCCATGGCTAGGCGAAGCTGGTCACTGAGCATATCTACACAGAAAAATATGGCCAGGGCACTGTATTGGCCTGCTTCATTCCTGGTTCACTCATTCAGCCATTTGTTCAACAAACTTTGGGGATGTGTGTATATGTACGTTGGTGGTGGGTAATGTCCTAATTGTAGGGATGTGGAAGGAGCTACTCTTTGGGGCTAGGGATAGCCAAAGTGGCAACAACAAGGACTTCTGAAGTGCCTAACTGAAAGATGCCTCCAATGGCCTGGGTCCCAGTGCCAGCTCTGTTGCTTCTGAGCTGTGTGACCTTGGGGAAATCATTTCATCTCTCTGAGGCTCAGTCTAAGGGCTATGTGTTGGGCTCTGAGGACACCACAGACTTAGATCCTGTCCTCGGAGAGCTCCCTGTCTAGTGGAGGAGACGGATCAAACACAGATCATCATATCACAGTGCGGTAAGGGCAGTGACAGAGATTTGTACAGGGCATTATGAGAGCTTTGGGTGGTGGGTGAGAGCAAGGCTTCCAGGAGGAGGTGACCCTTGCAATATGTGTTGCATATAGGCAGAAAAAGCAAAGGGCACTCCAGGCTGCTGGCACAGTATGAACAAAGGTATTGACACTTTGTTTCAATCCAGCCACAGTGGTCTCCTTGCTGTTTCTAGAACATGTCAGACCCTCCTGCCTCAGGGATTTGCAAGAGATGTTAGTCTTGGCTCATGCTGTCTTGCTTCACTCAAGTCTTTGCCCAAATGTTACCACGTCAGTGAGGCCTTCCCTGTCTCTCCTACCTAAAGTTGCAACCTGCCTGCCCCTAACATTTATCCCCCCTTCCTTGATTTATTTTCTCCCTAGCGTTTGTCACCATCCAATATACTCTACATTTTACTTAATTATTTTGTCTCCTGCTTGTCCCTTTCCTCGTAGAAGGTAACCTTTGTGAGGGCAGGGATTTTTGTCTGTTTTATTCACTACCATGCCCCAGCACCTAGATCAGAACCTGGCACATAGTTAGGTGCTCAATAAATATTTGTCATATGAATGAAGGAAAGCAAGATACAGCATGCTCTGTATCTTAAACTACAAATAGTCTGCTCTTGCTGGAGCATAAAATGCAAGTGGCTAGAGAGCTTTGCAGGGGCCAGACTAAGGGCCAGAAACTTGACTTGAAGGTGGTGGGGAACACGGAAGGATTGAAAGCAAGGGGGTGACATGGGTAGATTTGCATTTTAGAAGGCTCCTTCTGGTGGCAAGTATAGAGGTCAGGCTGGTGGGAGACAATGGAGGTAGGGAAGCCATGTTGGAGGCTATTGTAGTAGGCCAATTGGGAGAGCTCAAACCAGGCTGGTGATGGAAAGGATGGAGGGGAAATATATAGGAGGTTACATCAGCCTGCTTCATTGATGGATTGGATGAGGGAGTAAGGGAGAGAAGATGCAGTGATGCTTCCCAGGGTCCTGGCTTGGAGGGCTGGGTGCATGGTGTGACCACCACCAGAAGTAGAAGATACAGAATGAAGAGCAGGTTAGGGGCACTGATGAATTCTGTTAAGGAAGCTGAGTTGGAGGTGCTCAGCAGGCATATGGATATCTGATTCTGTAGGTAGAGAGTCCTTAACACAGAGGTGGTGACATGGTAGCTGAAACCAGAATGAGGGCCAAGGGCACCTGAGGTAAGTATGCAGGGTAGGGAAAGCAGTGTGCCAGGGACAAAGTCTCAAGAAGGAAGGAGTAGGAAGAAGAGAAACCCACAAAGGGCAGACAGAGAAGGAATGGTCAGAGAGCTATGAGCAGAATGTGCTGTCATAGAAGCCAAGGAGGAGAAAGGTTCAGGAAGGAAGATGTGGTCAGAGTCAAGTGTAGCAAGAAAGGTCTGGTCAAGGAGAAAAGACTAAACAGAACCTTTTGTACCTGATGACACAAAGGGCATTGTTGATTTTAGCAAGAGTAGTGTCAGTGAAGTTGTGTGGGGAGAAATGAGATCTCAGAGAGTTGAGGTGTGACTGGAAAGTTAGGAAGAAAAGACAGCAAGTAGAAACAGAGTTTTCAAAAAGTAGGCTATAAAGGAAACCAGAGGAATCACAGGGTGGAGGGAGGCTTTTGTTTTTTCAAGATGGGTTAGATGTAAGCATCTTTGCAGCCTGCACGGAAGGGGCCAGTGGAAGGGGAAATGTTGAGAACACAGAGGGAGGATACCCCAGGGAGTACAGCCGGGGGTGGGGAGGGAGAATGGGGTCCAGAGCATAGGCTGAAGGCTTGGCTTTGAAGAGGAACAGGGACACGGACTTCAGAGACTGGAGAGCAGGGGGGAAGGGAGGATAGGGGTGCACTGTTTCATTTCACCCTTCACAGCAACCCAGAGAGGAAAAGATCAGCCCCATTTTTCAGATGGGGACACCAAGAAGTCCAGAGGTGAAGTAAAATGCCCAAGGTTACACAGCTGGCAAGTAGTAGGTTGGGATTTGACTCCGGGTATCTCAAGGAATCAGCATATGCTTCTTCCTTCCATTACACACAGACTCTCCCTCAGCATTCTGTTGTCCCTGTTGCCTTGTTCTACCTTCTTGTACACCTGCCTACTGCCATTGGGCCACTGGCCCCACAATGCCACTGCAACTGCTCTGACAGAAAGCACCAAACACTCCTAATTTCCAAATTCAATAGACAGGTTTCTCTTCCTATATGAACTTCTCCAGAGCATTTGACATTATTCACGACTCCCTCTCTGAAACTCCTCCCTTGGCCTCTGAGTCCCCACTTTCTCATGGACTGAGAGAAGGCAAGTACGGTGTAGTGATCAAGAGCATGGTCTCTGGAGCCAGCCTGCCTGAGTTCACTTCCCACCTCCATCACTCACTAGCTATATGACTTTGGGCAAGTTATTTAACATCTCTGTTCTTCAGTTTCCTCCAGTGAAAATGGAGATAATACTGGTAATTGCCTCATAGGGTTGTTGCCAGGATTAAGTTAGTTAATACATGGCAGAAAGCTTAGCACATGCCTGGTACACAGCAAGTGCTTAATAAAGGTTAGCTGGTATTATTATTATTATTTTATGCATCTTTTTCCTACCTCCCTGATCCCTTCTTAGTCTTTGTTATGGACTCCTTTTCCTCTACTCATTTGTTCACTCAGGATACATTTACTGGGCATCTTCCATGTCCCAGGCACTGTGTAAGTCACCAGGTTGTAGTGGTTAATAAGACAGCTCTGGCCTTTGCCCTCACCGAGTGCACCATTTGCTCACCCTTTCCCCAGGCTCCAGGCTTAGCATTCTGTTAATTTGCACATCCCCCCCAGGGCTCTCAGATCTCTCCCTGCAGCCCCAGAACTTCAGGATCATATAGCTACGCGGCTGCCTGGCGGCCACCTTCCTCTTGGCCGCAATAGTCTACCTGATCTCCTTGCTTCCTACCACTCTTCCCCTCACTCTACTTCAGCTATTCTGGCTCCACTGTTATGCCTCAGACATGCCAGATGCCCTCTCTCCTGCCTCAGGGTCTTTACACTAGCTGTTTCCTCTAACTGGACAGCTCTTCCCTCAGATCTTTGCACTGCTCACTCCCTTATTTTCAGATCTGTATTCAAATGCTACCTCAGTCAGGTTTCCCTTATGTAAAATTGCAGCTGTGCACCCCCTTCCAAAAGTCCCCATATCTTCTTTTGGTGCTTTGTTTTTCTCCCTAACAATTATCTTAAGGCACCTTATATATTTCACTATTTTATCTTGTTTACTGTCTGTCTGTCCCCATTAGAGAGTGTGAACCCCACGACAGTAAGGATTTTCTGTTTTGTTCACTGTTCCAGGCACAAAGTAGGTAGCTTAATATTTGCTGAATGTTGAAATGGTCTTGTCACTCCTCTGCTTAAAATCCTTAAGCAGCTACCCACTGCCTACACGATAAAGTCACAATTCCTTAGTTTGGTGTAGAAGGTCCTTGCTCATTTTCTCTTCCTCCAAGCCCTCAACACTAGGCTGCACAGCTACTGAACTGTTGACGCATCCTAAACATCCAGACCATTCACAGCTCCGGTGCTCTTCCTTTTGCTGCTCCCTCTGCCTAGAATGGCCTTTTCTTGTTCCCTCTCCTCACCCTAGCAAAATTGTATCCAGGTTTCCAAAATTGGTTCCTGACAGCTGACCTGTGCCACCTCCTGCCCTATCCCCCTTTCCTTGTGAGAATTGACCACTCCCATATTGATATTGCCTCCATGTCCTATATATATATACTTCTATCACAGTACCTGTCATAGTACCTAACACAGTGTTAAAGCATACATATTTGCTGATCAGTGACTTGTGCATGTATGTTTTCCTCTTACTCTAAACTGAGTTTTTGGAAGGCATGGTTCTGTGGGCTCCTGGAGGGCAGGGTGCCTGCCTTGTTTACTTTGGTCTTCACTTGTTCACTCAACAGTGGTTTATTGCACTCCTGACACTGTGGCAGGCACTGTACTAGGCAACTGGGATACAGGGGTGGAAACGAGAGATGTGGTTCATCTTCAGTGAGCTGACGTTTTAGACGGACATTCCACAGATACTTTCAGAATAAATTACTTCTATGATAAGTGGTACAACAGAACAGGGCACTATAATAGGGACGATTTGAAAGGTGAGCAGTGTGAGTAGATAAGAGATGATTCTTGCCCTTGAAGGGCTTACTCTAATGGAAGAGGAGGACATGGCCACAGATAATGTCATAGTAATAATAGCTACTGGTTATTGAGCACTGACAGTTTTGCTTTACGTACGGTATCTCATTTCATTCTCATATGGGAAATATATTTCCCATACTCTATATAGTGTTGATTATTATCCCTATTTTAAAGATGAGGAAACTGGAGCACAGAGAGGAAAATTCATTTGCCAAAACCAGCTTAGTAAGTGGCAGAGCTGTTAGGCTTGTCTTTACTGTCCTGCCACCAGGTAATGGAGTGCCAGGCTGATCGGGATAATGGTTATACTGTCAGTTACTAAAGGAAGTCAGGGAGGTTGGGGTCTGCTCAGTCTAACCTTTCAGCAGCAGCCCTTCGGGTAATTGGACCTCCCCACACAATTCTGGTGTCCTGGGTGCTGTACCTGGCTCAGGACAACTCCCTGCCAGGCCTTAGGTCTCAACCTGGAGGGCCCGGCTGCTCACCTGCACACTTCTCGTCAGCCTTGGCTTGCTGTTGCTCCTGCAGCTGCCTCTCCAGGCTGTACCTGAACTGTTCCTGCTGCATTCTCAGGCACGTGGCCCTGTACAGGTCCTCCCCAGAGAACCATTGCAGGCTGGCTGGGCCACAGTGGGGACCAATGTCACTGAGATGGGCTGGAAATTCATTCTGGAGTTGGTGTGGATCCCAAAGCTCAAATTCACACCTGTTCTTGAGCTGCTGCTTCTGCTCCCGATACTCCTGGACTTTCTTGGCCAGCCGACGTGTTCGTTCTGCCTGTTCCTTGTCTAGCAGCTGGGCTACCAGATCATACTGCACCTGGTTGGTACCTGGGGGTGGTGGGCAGGGACATGAAGAAGGCACCATGGGAAGGACAGAGTCCACTTGGCATGGCCTCTGCTCCCAAGGCCCATCTGGTTTGTCCTGCCACACCCCAGGACAGGCCCCACTCCGATGCCCTACCTCAGCCCACTCAGGCCCTTGCTTTTCCCCCTTGGCTGGCCCCTGGCCTTGGGTTTTTACCATAAGCCGCCTCCTTCCTCCGCTCTGTTGCTTCTCGAAGCTTTTGCTTTTCTACCTGGCTGTTCAGGGCTTCAACATCCATCTGATCCCAAAGAAATTAACTAAATCAGGGTAGGGGCTCAGCAGCAGGTCTTGAATGCTCTAACACAAACTGCTCAGAATTTACCTTCTTCAGAATCCTCCTATAGATCCCCAATACCTACTGGATAATGTTCCACCATCTGAGCATGATTTGTAAGCCCCTCAATTCAGTTCCCTGGGGGAACACTTGCCAACTAGATCTCAATCACACCACTGATCCCTGAGCAAGCTACTTGCTTGTGTCAGGCACTATGCTCTGGTTTCCAGAGCCATCACCATCAGTTAATACTCACTTCAACCCTTCCTTTATTTAGCCTCATTTTACAGAGTAGGAGCCTGGAGCACAGAGAAGACAGGTGACTCATCCAAAATCACACGTCCAGTAAACAGCAGACCTGGCCCTTGAGCATAGGTGTGGGGTCTTTTCCAGAATACCATGCTGCATCCCCCCTTTATCCACCCACCCAGCAATCTATTTTCTCTTAAACTATCAATATTTTCTCATTGTTTTGATTATAACTCATTTAAGACATTTCAAAATAGTGTAAAAGGGAATACAGTTTAGTGAAGAGTAAGTGTCCTTCCCATCTCAACCCCTCAGCCCAGTTAACAGTTTCTTAGGTAGCCTTCCAGAAAGAGTTTAGGCATGTGCAATACCAAATATTCTTTAAAAAAATTTTTTCTTTTAAAGATTGGCACCTGAGCTGACATCTGTTGCCAATCTTGTCTTTTTTTCTTCTTCTCCTCCCCAAAGCCCCCCAGTACATAGTTGTATATTCTAGTTGTCAGTCCTTCTGGCTCTGCTGTGTGGGACGCCACCTCAGCATGGCCTGATGAGCGGTGCCATGTCCACGCCCAGGATCCAAACCAGCAAAACCCTGGCTGACGAAGCAGAGTGCACAAACTTAACCACTTGGCTACGGGGCTGGCCCCCTAAATATTCTTTGGACTTCTTTTGGCTCCATGTTGCCAGTCTCTCGAGAACCAGGCCACTTGGCCCAGAGCTGACTGGAGAAGAGTCAGCTGTCACCAGCTCCTCTTCCCCTAGTCTCTTCCCCTGAACCCCCAGGCCCCTTCCCAGGCCCTTCCTACCCCTAGGGCTGGGTGTCTTCTACCCTCCTCCATCCTCTCCAGCCCTAGGGCTGCTCAGATCAGGGAAGGGATGTAACAGGCACTGCCACATTCTCTAGGTGCAAGAGTGAGGTGGCCCCTGGCCCTGAGAATGTCCGTGCTGCCCACTCACCCCCATGAGTCTGGTCCGCACATTGAAGATTTGGCTCTGTCGCTCCTTTTCTTGATTTCTTCTAGCCTCCATGGCTGCTACCTCCTTGGGATCTGGTGACAGGTCTACCTTATACACCTGGAGCAAGAGTGAGGTGGAATGGCCAATCAGTGCTGACCATCATCCTTGACTACACTGCCACCCCCTTTCCTTTCTCCCCACAGTATCTCACCAGTTATTGATTCCTACTGATTTTACTTCCTAATATATTTCATATCTGTGGTCCTCCATCTCTACTGTCACCACTCTAATTCAGGCCTCACAATCTGGTGCCAGACAGTATTCTCAGGAGCCTCACTGGCCTCCCTTGCTCCAGTGTTACCCTGTCTACTTCTTTCACTGCACTTGCTACCAGAGTGAGCTTTCGGAAAGCAAATCTGACCGTGGCACACCTCAGTTTAAAACCTTTAAAAGCGGCTTTAAAGCAAATGGCTCCCCAGCATTTACAAGATAAAGTCCACCACCCCCTGCCAGATTTAAAAGAGTCTTCATAATCTGACCCCTGCTCACCTTTCCACGTCTCAAACTCATTTACAACTCTCCCCCTTTCACATTATGCTCTATTCAGTTTTCCCCATTTCAGTAAACAGCACTACCATTCCCCCTTTATTTTTATTACTTACTCTCTAGTCAAATGAAAGGTTAAAGGGCTTAAATTTGCCTGTGTTCCTTCATATTTTGGAAAGCCCACTTTTGGCAGGTCAGCCAGCCAAAGCCACAGCCAAAAACACTTTTGCAGACATAAATCTGATCATGTCTCTCACCTGCTTAAAATCCTGGCTTCCCAGTGCACTTCGAATAAGATCCAAACTCCTTGCCATTTGGGCATTCAAGATCCGGTTCCTGCATCTCTCTCCTATTCATCTCATGCCCTGTCTCCCTTGCTTACAGTGCTCCAGGCACGCTGGCCTCCTATCGAGTCCTCCAACACAACAACTGTCCCCACCTCAGGGCCTTTGTACAAGGTGTTCCTTTGTTCAGAACACCATTCCTCAATTCCTCCTATAGCTAGTTTAGTCTTTTTTTTTTTTTAAACATTTTGTAACTGTGAAATATTTGATACAGACTGCAGAATATATATTACCCATGTGTAAGTTAGGAAGCATGATAAGATGGAGACCTGTGAACCAGCTCCTCAACTTAAGAAATAGAACATGATCAATACTATTGAAGTGCCTTCTCTCTCATCCTTACCCTAAGAGATAACCATTATCCAAAATGTTACCATCCCCTTACTAATGCGAATTAAAATACTGTGTGTGTGTACAATTCCCTGGACATTATTTTTAAACATTTTCTTGTTTTGGAACTTTATAAAGTATCATGCAGTACGTATTCTTCTGCATCTTGCTTTTTTCACTCATGTTCATCCTATCACTTAACAAGTATTTGTGGAATGCCTACTGTCAGACACTCCTTTAAGCATTTGAGAGACACCAAGGAGCAAAAGTGACAAAAATTTGAGTCCTTATGGAGGTTACTTTCTAGTGGGGGCAGACAGACAATAAAGAGTACACTAAATAATTTGTAAAAAGATAATAAGTGCTATGGGAAAGAAATATAGAGCAGGATAAGGGGAACTGGAAGTGCCAAGGAAATGGGGGGAGCGTTGCAATTTTAAATATGGAAGTCGGGGAGGCATAACTGAGAAGGTAATATTTGAGCAAATACTTGAAGAAGGTGGGAATCAGCTATGCAGATATCTAGGAGGAGAGCACTCCAGACGTCAAGTGCAAAAGGCCTTAAGGTGGACATGAGAGGCACACGTTCAAGGGAACAGCAGGGAGGCAAGTGTGTGAGTGAAGGAGAGGTAGGTAGGAAATGACATTAGAGAGATAAAGGGGGACAGGCAGAGCATGTAGGACTTTGCAGACCATTGTAAAGGCTGTGGCTTTTACTTGGAGAGAAATAGGCAGCCACTGAAGGGTTTTGAGCAGTGGGAGCAATGAGTTCTGCCTTTGATTTTTAAAGGCTCACTCCGGCTGCTGTGTTAAGAATAGATTGGGAGTAGGGGAGGCAAGGCTAGAAGCAGGGAGACCAGACAGGAGGCTATTGCAGACATCCAGGCAAGAGATGGTGGTGACTCACACCAGATTAGTAGCAGCAGAAGTGGTCAGATTCTGGATATATTTTGAAGTCAGAGCTGACAGGACTTCCTGGTGGATTGAATGTGTAGTGTGAGAGCAGTATCAAGAATGACTTCAAGGATTTGGGCTGGGGCAATCAGAGGGATGGAGTTGCTATCAACTGAATAGTCTGTATAGGGAGGACAGTATGGGATGGGACGAGGATCAGGAGATCAGTTTTGGAAGTGTTGAGTTTGAGAGGTCTATTAGATATTCACTGATAGCATACAGATGGTATGGTAAATTTTCTTATTATTCAGAAAGATTTGCTGCTCTTCCCTACAGAAGGATTATACATCCTTATCTCGTTGCCCTCAAGATTAGCCACGTGATTTGCTTTGCCCACTGCAATGTGAGAAATGATATGTGCCATTCCCAAGCAGAACTAAGAGCCATTGTGTGATAGCCACTTTTTCTCTTCATTCTTGCTATGAGACTGGCAATGTCCCAGGTAAGGGCTGCTCCTTCAGCCTTGGTCCTGGAATGATGACACAGAGCAGAGATGCAGCCAACCCACAATGGAAAAGAAGAATGAGTGAGAAATCTTTGTTTTTATAAGCTGCTGAGATTTTTGGGTTGTTTGTAACTTTAGTATAATTTAGCCTATCCTGGCTGATACAAAGGAATTTAAAGCTCTGAGGCTGTAAGAGATCTCTGAGGGAATGGGTGCAGATGGATAAGAATGCCCTAGGGGAGACAGGATGAGGAGGAGCCAGCACTGGAGGCTAAGGAGGAGTGGCTGGTAGGGTGGGAGAAAAACCAGGAGTGTGGTGTCTGAGAAGCCAAGTGAAGAAAGTGCTTTTGGGAGGAGAGAGTGAGCAACTGATGGTTATGTAAGATGAAGACTGAGAACTGACTGATTTAGTAACATGAGGGTTGCTGATGACCTTGACAAGAACAGTTTTGGTGGAGCTGTGGGGATGAAATCCTGATTGAGGTGGGTTCAAGAGAGACTAGAACTCTGCAGCACAAACAACCCAGTTTATTTTCTTTTACCTGCAAGAGAAAAAAGAGGGAGGAGGAACTTGTAGATTAAAAGAGACATATATACAGGTGGGAAAGTTTCTCTAGCATACATCTAGGAGTAGAAGGGCTGGCTCATAGGGCATAAGCATATTTAACTATACGAGATAATGCTAAGTTGTTTTTCAAGGAGATTGTACCAATTCACGCTTTCACCATTATGTATAAAAACTCCAGTCACTCTACATCTTCACCAACGCTTGGTATTGCAGACGTTTTTGCCAGCTTTTGGGTATGAAATTATAATTATCGATTTTAATTGGAATTTTCCTTATTGCTAATGAGGTTGCACATCTTTTCACGTGTGGTTTGGCCATTTTTGTTTGCTTTTTTGTGAAGTGCCCATTCATATCTTTTGTTCATTAAAAAAATCAGGTTGTTGTTTGTCCTTTATTAATTTTAGGAGTTCCTTATGTATTCTATACATTAATCATTTCTTAGTTTAAATGTGGCAAACATCTCCAATTTGTGGCTTGTCTTTTCACTTTATTATTATTTGATAATAATTTTATGGTAACAATTGATACATACAAAGGAATATGGTTAAGGCACATGTAAGTTATGAAGCACAACAACCAAATGAACACCTGTGAACCCTTCACAGAATCCAGAAAATAGAACATTATCAATACTTTAGAAGCTTTCTGTGTGCACTTGCCCATCTTTTCCCTTTCTTTATGTTGTAATTTGGATGAATTTGAATGCAGTCAAATTTACCAATGTTTCCCTTTAGGCTTGGAAGTTATTATTATTTAGGAAATCCCTTGAGGTCATAAAGATATTCTCCTAAAATTTCTAAAGATTTGCCTTTCTCATTTAAGTTTTTAATCCTTTTGGAATTGCATTTGGTATATGTTGTGAGGGGTAGGGATCCAATTAGATTTTCCCCCCAAGCTCCATCTCATCTTTTAAAATGGAACAGTAGTTCCTGTCAGTTATATGAGATTGTTGTCCTTTGGTTATTTTATCTCCTCAGCCCGATTGTGACTGTTTCTCCCAGTTGAACTTCATTTGTGGCCCCTCTACTAGATCCCATAAACCAATCTTTCTCACTTTCCTGGACTTGTTCTAAGACTTTAAGACTCTTCCCAGCCTCCAGACATCATTTTAAAAATAGTTACAGGAATGGCTATGGCAACCACCAGACCCTTTCTATGTCTAAGTGTAAGCACCAACTCCAGCCTACTCATTCCATCTGTTACCACAATGTAAGGTCACTGAAGGGGAAGATTTGGCAGACATTTTAAACTTCTTGGACTGCTAAGACTTGGCCTTAGTAATGAGCAGGTATAAGGTGATGGGGGATGAGGGGATGGAGGAGAGGGACAGAATAGATGGGGAACAGAGAGGGGAAAGTGACAGAGGGTAGAGTTGAGGGGCAGAGGAGGAAAGAGGAAGGAGGGCAACAGGGCAGTTGATGGGGGTGGAGGACAGGGAGCAGAGAGAGAAGAGGAAAGTGCGAAACAAGCGATGGGGCAGAGGGGGATGGAGAGGAGGTCATGGGATGGGGGTGAGACATAGAGAAAAAGATGAAGCGGGGAGAAGGGAAGGAACATAGAAGCACAGAGGTGGAGAGCACTGGCTTAGGGACCCTGACTGCCAGGGATTCACACAAAATACCTTTCTCAGCAAGGAGTACCAATTTTGAAGCTCCCAGGTTGGGTCCAGATTCAAGTAGCCAACAAGTGGCTCAGGTCCAAGACTATTTTGGAGCTACAGTGGCAGTCTCGGAACTCTGCTTGAAGGAACAGAAGGGAGGCAGGGTATAGGGGCAGTACCTCTGGCCATAGCTTTCCCCACCCCGTATCCCTGTCGCTCCAGAGTACCCTCATCTCCATTCACACTCCATCCTCCTTTACACCCATCCCACCTCTACCTCCACCCGACTCCACCTCCAACCCTACTCCACAGCAAGGTCTGAGCTCGCCTAATACCGAATCCTCCCTTTGGCCCTTCTTTCCCGTACAGCCCTCCGCTCCCCGGGGTCCTTCCAATTCCTGACCCTGTTCTTGTCTGAGCCTTCCGGCCTGCTAGGCTAAAGCCACAGCCGAGCTCCCACCTTCCTCTTGTCCTGGAGGGCATATCCCTGCTGTGACTTCTGATTTGTCTCGGCAAGCGTGGGCTCCGGTGCCGCCTGCTTCCTCGGATCCCAAAAGTTATTGTGTCTTCCCGTCACCGCCTCGTCTACGACTTCGTAGGCTCTGGCCCGGGCTTGCGTTGCCCTGCACATGAAAGGGGGCGGGGCCCAAACGTCTGTCGTTAGCTCGCTCCCTGGCAACGGATCAACAAAAGCTCTCGAAGGCCCCGCCCCTAGTTTCTGCCTGCGCCGGAAGCTGGGAATCCCGTTCGGCCTGGAGTCAGTCTCGCGAGGCTTGCCATCCGCCCGGCCTGCACTGCGGTGTTTCCCGCGCGGGCTACCCCAGTTCCCGGGCGTACGGCGCGGCCTTTGGTACCGTCGCCGGGGCCGCGGCAGTCATGGGTTTCCTGAAACTGATTGAGATCGAGAACTTTAAGTCGTACAAGGGTCGACAGATTATCGGACCATTTCAGAGGTTCACCGCCATCATTGGACCCAATGGCTCTGGTGAGATAAACCTGGCTGCGGCCCTGCTCACGTCCCGGCCTGGACCCCCTATCTGGCAGCAGAGTAGTACAACCCACCCGTGCAACCTGAAATGTCGCGAACCCAAACAGGTTCCTTTCCTCCTGAAGGGGTTCAGTCCGGACCCGATTTCCCCGCTCGGGTGATCTGACTCGAACCTCTTCCCCAGGTGTCAGTTGCCCACTCCCGCTCTTTGCGCGGCCCCCGTTCCGGCCGGAGTGGTACGAGCCGAACTGTGCGTTACCTCGCCCACTGCCCCCTCCCGCCAAAACTGGCGCGTCCCGACCCAGCTGCCTGCCGCTGGCCGCGCAGTTCTCTGCTGGACCAGCTGAATCCGGCTTCCCCGCCTTGTTTGAATCCTCCGAAAGATGTGGGACTGCTGGTAACCCTCCGGTGGCCTCCGTTCCCAAGCGGTACACTTCTCCCTCAGCCCCGCGCCCCCTCCCGCCTCGGGTTGGTACGCTCCATTTCCTCCTTTTTTTTTTTTTTTTCTTTTACTTTCCTCCGGAGGCGGCACTTTTGAATTGCGGACCCAGCGCTAGCGTCTCTAGAATGCTTGAGGTCTCGACCCTCCACCCCCATCTCAGAGGTGGGAATGCCTTGAACTCACCCGTTTGCTACCACTGAAACCGTTAATAGAACTCATTCGCTTGCCAAATTTATCGAATGCTTATTGTTTTTTATGAGGAATTATTTAAGGTACTGTGGAAACAGCAGAGAATAGAATAGGCCGTGCTTTCAGGGAACTTACATTCCAGAGGGGAAAGATGATAATAAACAAGGAGAAAATAAGATAATTTTCGTTTATGATAAGTGCCGTGCGGGAAATTAGGTTGATGTGATAGAGTGACTTGGGTGGGCATCTTTACAAAGAGTGGTCAGTAGTTAACAATATTGTATATTTGAAAGTTGCTGAGAGAAAAGATCTTAAAAGGTCTCATCACCACAAAAAAAATTGTAACCATGTAAGGTGATAGATGTTAACTAAACTTATTGTGGTGATCGTTTCACGATATGTATAAATATGGAATCGTTAGGTTGTACACCTGAAACTAGTACAATGTCAGTTATATCTCAGTAAAACTGGGGGGAAAATGTAAAAAATAAATAAATGAAAGGTAGTCAGGTAAGGCCTCTATTTCATATCTTAACTTCCCATCTCTAAATGATGCACCATGGATTCCTTCCATCCACCCCAACAAGCAGTCCCTGTGGAATCCTACTGGGTTCCTCCACCTCAGGGATGTTCTAGCTAAATAATTTCCTAGCCTGAGGGGCTGCCCTCACTGAAATAACTCAAACTGATGACCTTCCCTTGAGTCTTGCCTGGGTTTGGCTCTCTATGTGGAGCAGGGTTTCTCAGCAGCAGCACTACTGACATTTCCAGCAAAATAATTCTTTACTGTGGGGTTGGTCCTGTGCATTATGGGATGTTTAGTGGCATCCGTGGCTTCTACCCACTAAATGACAGTGGCGCCCCCACCTCCCAGGTGTGACAACCAAAAATGTCTCCAGACATTGCCAGATGTCCCCTGAGTGGGGTAAAATTATTCCCCCTCTCCACCTCCTTTGACAACCACTAGCCTAAAGGTCTGATGCTTGGAGTGCCACTTCAGTTTCTTAGGATTTTGGTGTGGTGGCCCCTGTGGAAAGAGCCGGAATACACCTCTTGGCACTCAGTCCCCTCGTCGCGGATAGATTTGTATATGCAATTGTTCAGAAAAGGCCTTTGATCTGACTGCCCCCACTTCTCCCATTCTTCAGTGCCGACCTCCACAAGGCATTCCTTGATTCCCCTGAGTGAATTCCTCTCTGGCACACAGTAGACTCCTGGTACACATTTATTTTCTTCTGTTTTGTGTTCATGGTATATGTTTTTGTATCTTCATCTCTGGGCTATGAGTACCCCAAAGAAGACATTTCTTAAAATGTTTTATCAGTGTTTAACTCATAATACATGTTATAAAAATGTTTACAATATTGAATGATAGCGAATAGGAAGGTCTTTGGTTGTGAGATGTTCTTACTGTCCCTGGAAAGCATGGGAGAAGCGCAAAGGTTGGAAATGGGTGCCTAAAAGGCTGACTCCTGGTCTGTGTGATGTGCTAGTCCTGCTGTGGATGAGAGAGCTGGGTCTAGACCTGTTGTTAGGATAGAACTGCCATTTATTGAGTACCTACTATGTGTCAAGTCCTTTATTTATTGAGACCTTTTACATTTAAATTCTCACAGTGACCCTAGGAAGGAGACACCATTATCTCCTTTTATAGATGAGGAGACTAAGGCACAGAGAGTTGTGATCACTTGCATACTAACTGATTCTCAGAGCTAGGATCAGAACCCATGCCTGCCGTACTTCATAGTCTGTGCTCCTGCCACTCCAACAGAGAACTATGTGCCAAGCATTGTTTCAGATGCTTTATTTATGAGTCATGGTTTTTCACATTTTCCAGATGAGGGAATGGAAGGTCAGCTGAGAAGTAGTGAAATTAAGATTAGAACCTGGTCTATTGGACTAGAACCCAAGCCCTTAATGCTGTCTTATAATCCCTCCATGGAAGGACCTGGGCTGCCATTTTTATAGCTGGGTACAAAGGTATTGGAAATCAGGTCCTCGGTTCAAGGTCATATAACATATTTGGGGAGAATCTTAAGATGGAATTGATAGAGATTGTCCCTCCGCCCCATCCCAGTCTAAATTAAAAAAAAATTTTTTTTTCTGAGTCTAAAATGAAGAAACTGAAGACTGTGATTCCACTACTGAAAAGATAACCACTGTTAATGTTAAAAATCTTATTTATTTGAATAGATAATACATGCACATGGTTTACAATTTTTAAAAAAATCCCAGGGGCCGGCCGGGTGGCACAGCAGTTTAGTGCGCATGTTCTGCTTTGGCGGCCTGGGGTTCGCTGGTTCGGATCCTGGGTGGGGACATGGCACCACGTGGCAAGCCATGCTGAGATAGGCATCCCACATATAAAGTGGAGGGACATGGGCACGGATGTTAGCTCAGGGCCAGTCTTCCTCAGAAAAAAAGAGTAGGATTGGCAGCGGATGTTAGCTCAGGGCTAATCTTCCTTGAGAAAAAAAAAAAAATCCCAAAGGATATACAGTGAAAGAAGACTCCGTCCCTTCCCTGACCTGCTTTCCTTCCTGGAAGCAACCACCGTTATACTGTTTACATTTTCATGTATTTTTTCCTATGACTTTTCTTCTCCCCAGGTTTTTATTATGAAAATTTTCAAACGTACGCATGTGCTTTGCTTAATCATTTGAAAGTAAATTGCAGACTTAATGACATTTTACCCCTGTATTACCAAAATACTGTTATCACACCTAAGAAAATTAATTTCCTCGTGTCATCAGTTATCCAGTTTATAGTCAGGCTTCCCTCATTGCAACCCAAAATGTCTTTTGGAACCAGAAACTAATCAAAGTTCGTGCATTGCCTTTGCTTATGTCTCAGTAATCTGTTCTGGAGTGGTTCTCCCAACCTTTCTTTTTAGACGTTGACTTTTTGAAAAGACCAGGCTAATTGTCTTGTAGAACATCCCACATTCTGTGTATGTCTTAAGGTTTTCTCATGGTGTCATTTACTGTGTTCCTCTAACTGCTGTATTTCCTGTAAACTGGAAAGTAGGTATAAAGGCTTGTTTAGATTCAGGTTAAATATTTTTGGCAAGATACTTCATAGATGATGCTGTGTGCTTCATATTGTATCACAATAGGAATGTGTCTTAAAAAATTATGGTACAATATATATAACATGAAATTTACCATGTTAACCATTTTTAAGCATACAGTTCAGTAGTGTTAAGTATATTCACATTGTTTTGCAACTGATCTCCTGAGCTTTTTCATTTTGCAAAACTGAAACTCCATACCCATTTAAACAACAGCTCCCTGTTTCCCCCTCCCCTCAGTCTGTTTTTTTTTTTTTTAACTTGGTTAAGATCAAATTATTGAGTTTTGTGTCTTGCTTGTTTCTCCTGTTGTGGGCATTTTCCTGTGTCATTAAAGGTAGAACAATCCATTCTCTGAATATACTGTTTCCTTATGGGATTCTAGTTTTTGGCTGCTATAAGTAATATGTGCAAAGGGACTGTTTTCCCTTTGCAAGCCTTTGACCTGGGGCTTTGGTTGGGCCCTGTCTTTATGGGGGCAAAGCAGTATTTTTTCCTCCTATTAGTCTGAGCACTGAGTGCTTAGGGAACATTCCTGTTCCTCTCAATGTTTCCTTAATTCCTTTTCCTCTCCCCTTCTTCCTCACTTCCCCTCCTCTGGTTTGTCCCTTCCTCCCTTAGGTAAGTCAAATCTTATGGATGCCATCAGCTTTGTGTTGGGTGAGAAAACCAGCAACCTGCGGGTAAAGACTCTGAGGGACCTGATCCATGGAGCTCCTGTGGGCAAGCCAGCTGCCAACCGGGCCTTTGTCAGCATGGTCTACTCTGAGGAGGGTGCTGAGGACCGCACCTTTGCCCGTGTCATTGTTGGTGAGTGAAGCTGGCCAGAAGGATCTCCTGGGTCCTGGGACGTGGCTAGACTAGTTGGCTGGGGTAGGAAGGAGGCCTGACCCTCAGCTGACTCATGCCTTGTCTTTTAGGGGGTTCCTCTGAGTACAAGATCAACAACAAAGTGGTCCAGCTACATGAGTACAGTGAAGAATTGGAGAAGTTGGGCATTCTTATCAAAGCTCGTAACTTCCTCGTCTTCCAGGTGGGCATTTTTAGTAATTATTGGCTGTCTGCTTCTTGCCAGTCCTTGTCCCATCCTCACTGGGCCTGTTCCATCTACATCCGGCTTTATCATCTTTCCCCTGAACTAATGTAGCAGCTTCCTCACTGGGCTTTCTGGCTCTAATCTGGCCCCTTCCACTTCATCCCCTAAGCCAATTCATCTTATGAGGACAGACGTCTGTTTCTTTCCCTTTTCTCAAAACATTTCAGTGATTTCTCATTGCCTTACGATGGTAGTTCTCAAAGTGTTGTCTTTGGACCAGCATCACCTGGGGACATGTTAGAAATGCACATTCTCAGTCCCATCCTAGACTTATAGGCTCAGAGACTATGTGGGGCCCAGCAATTTGTGTTATACCAAGCTCTCCAGGTTGTTATGATGCATGCTAAAGTTTGAGAACTGTTGCCTTAGCATGAAATCCAAACTCCTACATTTAGGAAACACCATCCTTTGGTTCTTGCCCACCTCACTATCCTCATTTGCCAGTCTCTGCCGCTGGCAGCCCTGAAACTCCAGCCTAATTAAACCATTTACAGTTCCCCAAATTCGCCTACTTTCTTTGGCCTGCAGGCCTTTGCATATTAATTTTCCTCTACATAGAATAACCTCTTCTCTCTTACTCTTTTGGTTAGTTCTTCCTCATCTTCCAAACTCAGCTTAGATGTCACCTTTGGGAAGCCTTTCCAGATAGACACCCCTGCCAGTCTCCTACCTCCAAGCTTCATTTAGTCCTTTTTTTGTGCTACTTCTGTCACTGCACATAACACAGTTTGTTGTCTTTGGTTTGGTCTCTTCTGTTCCCCATATGCCTCAAAAGGCAATGTGTCTTCAAGGCGCACTGTGAGCTGTGGCAACCAGTGTATGTGGGGGTGGTTAGTGAACTTTTTCTGAATGATTGAGTGGGAGTGGAGTGGGGAGACTAGGCTGGCTAGGGTCTAAGTGGGGAGAGTGTTATCACATTTACTAGGGTGCTGTGGAGTCTATTGCCATGAAGAACCCCAAAGAAAGGACAGCACTATTTGAAGAGATCAGTCGCTCCGGGGAGCTGGCCCAGGAGTATGACAAGCGAAAGAAGGAGATGGTGAAGGCTGAGGAGGACACGCAGTTTAATTACCATCGCAAAAAAAACATTGCAGCTGAACGCAAGGAGGCCAAACAGGAGAAAGAAGAGGTAGGTAGCCAGTCTACCTCTGGGCTCTGAAGGGCCAGGATGCAGCCAGTGCCTTACTAATGCACCCCTGCCTCCATGCCCCTATATGCACAGGCTGACCGCTACCAGCGCCTGAAGGATGAAGTGGTGCGAGCTCAGGTACAGCTGCAGCTCTTTAAGCTTTATCATAATGAAGTGGAAATCGAGAAGCTCAATAAGGAACTGGCCTCTAAGAACAAGGAGATTGAGAAGGACAAGAAGCGTATGGACAAGGTAGAGGATGAGCTGAAGGAGAAGAAGAAGGAGCTGGGCAAAATGATGCGGGAGCAGCAGCAGATTGAGAAGGAGATCAAGTAAGAGCAGGCCTGGGCCTGCAACTTATGGGAAACCAAGAGGCTGTGCTGTTGCCTAAGGCTCCGCTGAGCTTGGAGTCCAGTGCCCATCTTAGTTTCTCTATCTTCCCTTTGACTTGGTTTGGCCAGTCCCAGGCATATTTCTTGTTTTCCGTTTTAGACAAATAGAGTATTTAAGTACTCAGATCTGGGTAGATAGGTACTCAGAAGAGGGAGAACTTAAAAGGGGCGGTGGCCTTACCAAGTGAGAGGAAGCCACTGGAGTGGCCGGGAATGTCATCCTAGAAGAGGAAAACTGGAGCTCGATGTTTAAAGGACAGGAATTTCAAAAGGTTGGTTCAGATGGGGGATGACTAAGTGAACTACACAGTGTTCTTGGGAGTTGTTACTGAGGGGCCTTGCCTGGCTAGGGTTGAGGCAGGGGTGGTAGCTTTGCCTTATGGAGTGGCTGGAATGCCAGGCTGAAGGCATCCATTCCAGAGAGTAGTAAGACTGCCCTCTTTTGAGGATCTGTGGAGCATCAGGCCCTGTTCTTTTAGGCAATTCTCTGAGGCTGACTGGGGGGCTCAGGCCCCACTTTCTTTGGGTAAAAAGCCTGGGAACCCTCCCTTCTCCCACAGGCTAACTGGTTTTCCCCCTCCCCTCTGGCAAAAGGGAGAAGGACTCAGAGCTGAATCAGAAGCGGCCTCAGTACATCAAAGCCAAGGAGAATACCTCCCACAAAATCAAGAAGCTAGAAGCAGCCAAGAAGTCCCTACAGAATGCTCAGAAGCATTATAAGAAACGTAAAGGAGACATGGATGAGCTGGAAAAGGAGATGCTGTCAGTGGAGAAAGCCCGGCAGGAGTTTGAGGAACGAATGGAAGAAGAGAGTCAAAGTCAGGGCAGAGACTTGACCCTGGAGGAGAATCAGGTAAGCTCTGGAGGGCTGGGAGGGTGTGGGATATCGCTGGGCTGGCATGGACCAACTTGGTCATCCCTGTCCTCCTTCCCTGTCCCTAACACAGGTGAAGAAATACCACCGGTTAAAAGAAGAAGCCAGCAAGAGAGCAGCAACCCTGGCCCAGGAGCTCGAGAAGTTCAATCGAGACCAGAAAGCCGACCAGGACCGGCTGGATCTAGAAGAGCGGAAGAAAGTAGAGACAGAGGTGGGCATGTGTTACAAGATTAGGGATGATGGTCCAGAGAAAAGGAAGTAATGATAGTCTTAACAGCAATGACAATAGCTAACATCTAGCCACCACTTACCATGTGCTAGGTGCTGTACTTTATGTGTATTCACTCATTCAATTCTTCATTTTCCAAATCAGGTAACTACAGCACAGAGGTGAAGTAATTTGCTTAAGGTCACATCATTATTAAATGGCAGAACCAGGATATGAACCTGGGCAGTCTGGCGCTAAAGCCCACGCTTTATCAAGTATACTTCACTTACTGACTTCCTAATAACAATAATAGTAAAGTAGTAACAATAATAGAACATTGTTATAGTGCTCCAAGAGCCTGCAATGTTCCAGGCATTTGCTAAGCACTTTTTAAAAATATTTAAAAGAAGACAGTAAGCATTAATATTAATAGCTACCCTGTATTAAGCACTTAATGTGTATTCTGTGAAGTGGAAGTTACCTACGTTTTACAGATGAGAAAACGGAGGTGCAGAAAGGTCCAGAAAGCTTTACTTTGCCTTGGTTTGAGCCCCCCTGATTGGTAAGCAAGATAGCCTGGGTAGAACACTATGAGAGGGTCTCATAGGGTCCTGGGAGGCCCCATCAGTTAGCAGAGCCGCACTGAACACCATTTCTTTGTCTGCTTTTTAGTAGGTCACTTGCATTAGTGACAGATTGTCCCGAACTGTTGGGCTCTTGGGTGAATGGGCATATAGGGGGTATAAGCCAGGGCTCCATGGTCTTGGAGTTAACTTGCTCAGACCCTGGTAATGGAGTATATTTGTCTCTCTTACAGGCCAAGATCAAGCAAAAGCTGAGGGAGATTGAAGAGAATCAAAAGCGGATTGAGAAACTGGAGGAGTACATTACGACTAGCAAGTATGTGGCTCTGCAACCTCCCCTTTTACCTACAGGCCTGTTCTTGTGAATCTTCCCTGTCCTGCCCCTCCCCGGGTAGGACCCCCAGAGTCCTCTCAGCCAAGAATATTTTCTCACCAGCCAGGATAACCCCTGTGTTCCCTCATTTTGTAGGCAGTCCCTAGAGGAACAGAAGAAGCTAGAGGGGGAGCTGACAGAAGAGGTGGAGATGGCCAAGCGGCGTATTGATGAGATCAATAAGGAGCTGAACCAGGTGATGGAGCAGCTGGGGGATGCCCGCATTGACCGCCAGGAAAGCAGTCGCCAACAGCGAAAGGCAGAGATTATGGAGAGCATCAAGCGCCTGTACCCTGGCTCTGTGGTAAGAGGGAGAGAGAACTCATTTCCTGAGCACTTAGTGTCATGCTCACTGTCAGATAATTTTCCCAGCAGCCCTAGGACAGGATTGCTAATCTCTCTCTTTTTTTTTTAAGATTTTATTTTTCCTTTTTCTCCCAAAGACCCTCGGTACATAGTTGTGTATTTTCAGTTGTGGGTCCTTCTAGTTGTGGCATGTGGGATGCCGCCTTAGCATGGCCTAATGAGCAGTGCCATGTCCGTGCCCAGGCTTCAAACCGGCGAAACCCTGGGCTGCCAAAGCAGGGCGTGCGAATTTAAGCACTCAGCCACGGGGCGACTCCTAATCTCATTTTTATGGCTAGGGAAACTGAGGCTCAGAGAGGTTAAATGACTTGCCCAGAACAGCAAAGCTTCTAAGTGGAAGAACAACAGTTTAAACCCAACTTGTTCTGACTCGTAACCTCATCTTTTTTTCATCACACCAATTGCATCTTGCTGAAGGTTTTGTCCTGCTGTGTCCATTCCTCTGTGGGAGGCGGGGAAACTGGAGAGACCTTTGGAAGGGGGAGGGGCCATGGAGCAGGAATTAGTCTCCCAAGAAGTACCTCTGTTCAGGCTTCCATTTGAGCTCCCTTGGTATGTACCAACCAGCCCATTTGCTTGTAGGGACATCCTAGGCTTTATCAGATCTCTTGGCCTCTTGAACAAAATCCTGAGTTCCCAGATTCCCTGAATATTATCCCTCTATTGCTATAATTCCATCCCTGGGTTCAGCTTAATTTGGTTCCACAAATATTTCCTGTTCGCTCCTCTAGACACTGCTGGGGAGTTTATAAGGATGAATTAGGCTCAGTCCCTGCCCTTAAAGATCTTACCTTTTATCTGATAGTTCTTAGGGAATCATGGTTGGTTTGGGGGACATGGGGGAAGTGAACTGGAAAAATTCATTTTGCTAGGTGCTTGTGAGAATTTGAGATAATGTATATAAGGTATCTGGCGTGGTGCCTGGGGTGACAGTGATCTGTGAAATGGTAAAAGTGAGGTTTAGAAAGATGATTTTGGATTCAGACATGACCGCCTGAAGTCGTTGTTGCTTTGGGGCCAGAGTAGGCTCCTACTCCACAGTGTGGGTGCTATGTCCCTCATACAGATTCTGGTCTGTGCCCCTTTCCAAGCTGGGAATTGGGGTTCCTGAGCCAACTCCCAAAAGCCTCATGCTTCAATTTTCTCTTCTGACTTTCCTCAGTATGGCCGCCTCATTGACCTCTGCCAGCCCACACAAAAGAAGTATCAGATTGCTGTAACCAAGGTTTTGGGCAAGAATATGGATGCCATTATTGTGGACTCAGAGAAAACGGGCCGGGACTGTATTCAGTATATCAAGGAGCAGCGTGGGGAGCCTGAGACCTTCTTGCCTCTTGATTACCTGGAGGTGAGCTGATGGGGATGGGGTCAGGGCAGTGTGAGAGGGCCCCGCCTCCTAGCCCTCCATGTTCTGCCACTTACTGAGCTTCCCACAGGTGAAACCTACAGATGAGAAACTCCGGGAGCTGAAGGGGGCCAAGCTGGTGATTGATGTGATTCGCTATGAGCCACCTCACATCAAAAAGGCCCTGCAGTATGCTTGTGGCAATGCTCTTGTCTGTGACAATGTGGAGGATGCCCGCCGCATTGCCTTTGGAGGCCACCAGCGCCACAAGGTATGGATTCCATTGCTGAGATTGGAGCTGGACAGGCTTAGTAGTGGAGATCCTCTATTCAGCTTCTGTCCCTCTTCTTCTCCCTATTGTATGTAGACAGTGGCACTGGATGGGACCCTGTTCCAGAAGTCAGGAGTTATCTCTGGTGGGGCCAGTGACCTGAAGGCCAAGGCCCGGCGCTGGGATGAGAAAGCAGTAGACAAGTTGAAAGAGAAGAAGGAGCGGTTGACAGAGGAGCTGAAAGTAAGCCACAGGCAGTGCTGTCCCTAGGTCCTGAGCCCAGGCTGACTGATCCCCTTACCACCTAGCCCTTCTCTCATGTCCGCTTCAGGAACAGATGAAGGCAAAAAGGAAAGAAGCAGAGCTTCGTCAGGTGCAGTCTCAGGCCCATGGACTACAGATGCGGCTCAAGTACTCACAGAGTGACCTGGAGCAGACCAAGACACGACATCTAGCCCTGAATTTGCAGGTGGGGCCTGGCCTTCAGCCCTCTCCTCCAAAGGCCACCTTCACATTCCTGGCCAAGTTTTCTCTGGGGGTGGGGAATTTGTCCCACAGCCCTCTCTCTTCCCAGCCTGCTCCGGGGAACCAAGGATAGCAGAGTCAGACAGCCAGAGGTTCAGGTCTTGGCTCCATGTGACATTAGGGAAGTTAACCTCTCAGTGTCAGTTTTTCATCTTTATCTGTAAAGTGGCAGTTAGAACAATACTTACTTTATAGGGTCGTTGCAAAGATTGAGTGAGTTAATACATGTAAAGTATTTAGACTGATTTCTCCACACCTAGTAAGTGCTCAGTAAATATTAGGTACTATTATTAGCGTAATTCATTCATTCAACAAATATTTGAGCTTTTTCTGAAAGTGAATTGAAAGTGAGCTCCAGGCACTTCACTACCTGTGGGTGGGGGTACTCTTGTAGGTATATTAACATATTTGATTATGGGGTGCCTCCTCAGACCACCCTGGAGGTATTATGTAATCTGTAGGATATATATCATTTTACTTTTTTCTAAAATCAAAAAGTCTGAATTCCAAGGGCTATAGATAAGGGAGTGTGGACCTGTGAGTAATGATGTTTACCGCGTGCCTAGCCCTGTGGGTTGAAGCTGGCTGAGGGGAGGCCAGGGAGGAAGCTGTGTCATAGTTCAAATGAGAAATGATCGAAGCTTGACTGGGGCAGTGCTAAGTTAGGTTCTCTCAGCATGTGGAGAGCTATCCCTTCCTATCCATGGGGCCAGTGTGCTTGAGGTGGCTCTTTCCCTCCAAGGAGCCTGGTCTCTTTTGCCCTCTCAACACTGTTTCCTGCAGGAAAAGTCCAAGCTGGAGAGTGAGCTAGCCAACTTTGGGCCTCGCATCAATGATATCAAGAGGATCATCCAGAGCCGAGAGAGGGAAATGAAAGACTTGAAGGAGAAGATGAACCAGGTTGGTAGGGGATGAGCCATGCCAGCATGTGCATCAGGGCAGGACTGGGGCTGGAAGCATCACTCTGACCCAAAGGGCCTTTAAACTTCCTTGCTTTTCCTCTCAGGTAGAGGATGAAGTGTTTGAAGAGTTTTGTCGAGAGATTGGTGTGCGCAACATCCGGGAGTTTGAGGAAGAGAAGGTGAAGCGGCAGAATGAAATAGCCAAGAAGCGGTAGGTGGAAGAGTAGAAGTGTGGGTAGAAGAGGAGGCTGGGGTACCCTTGAGCCCCGAGCCTGACATCATGAGAAGTCGAATGCCATCATAAGGCAGGGAGCAGCTCTTAGAACGGTGGACATTTATTGTAAGTCAGGCTTAGAGAACAGGGACATCGGGGAGTCAATGTGGCATAGTCTAGTGGTTAAGAGTGCCTGCTTTAATCGTGGTTTACCTGGGTTAAAATCCTAGCTCCACAACTCATTATCTTGGGCAGTGACCTGACCTCTCTGAGCCCCAGTTTCCTTATCTGTAAAATGGTACCATATATCTGTCTCATGGCATGCTTGGGTGGATCAGATGAGATAATCCTTATAAAGTATTTAGCATAATACTTAGCACCTACTAAGAGCAATAAATGTTGGCTTTTATTATTGTCATTATCCTGATGGGCGATGCAGGAGAGGAGGAACAAAGTTCTAGGTTGGAAGGATAGTAAGAACAAAACAGCAGTTTCTCCTCTCTTCCCCACTTTAGTTTATTCTTCAACAAACCTTTCTTGGCACAACCTACATTTTGCCAAGTTGTCCTGTGTTAGGTATTGGAGGAGGCAGGGAGATAGGGGTAAGACAGGTGAAATGACACAGTCTCTCTGAAGGAAGTCACTTCCTGGACCCTGGGCCTCAGTTGGCAGTTCATCTAGCCTATCATCCATACAGTAAATATTCATTGCTCTCCTACCCCCAGTCCAGGCTCAAGGGATACAGAATTGAATCAGAGACTGTCCTTGTCCTCAAGGAGTTAGGAGTAGTGGGGGAGACAAATAGATCAATAATTTTAGAACAGTGTGATCGATGCTGTACTTGGGGGAGATAGAAAATAGAGAGGAAATGTTCAATAAACTGCAAATCAACAAGAGGAAAAATAAAAACAATAAGAGACTCAATAGAAAAATGGACAGAGGATGTAGTTAGCGTTTCATGGAACGAGAAACTCGAATGGATAATGACTCTGTGAATTGATGTTCAGTCTCATTCCTAAGCAGAGAAATGCAAATTAAAACAATCTAGCAGTATTGGATGAAAATAAATCTACATAAACCCTACGACTTAGCAAAGTCACTCCTGGGTATATATTCCAGAGACAAGGTCACAAAGAGACACATTTGGGGTGGTTCATCTTGGCATAATTTGTGGTAGTGGGACGTTGGTGGCAATGTAGACGACTGTCACTGGAAGAAAGTATGAGTTAAATGTGATGAACATACGGACTATGGAATACTGTTTAGCAGTTCAACGCAAGAACTAGATTTACAGGCAGTAGCATGGATAAATTTATGACACCGTGCATTTGTGTAAATTTAAAAACAAAACAACATTTTACGAGGATATGCATTTTAAGGCTATATTCATATGTATGTATGTATAGATATGTATGTCACTTTGGAGTACCTGCTCACCGTAGGGAAGATAATGGGAGAAATCAGGGATTAAACCAAAGGCAAGAAGGGAAGGGTCTTTCACACACGGCAATCATAAGTGTGTTACGAAGTGTGGGATGATTAACCCAGTTGCACCGAAAACGGAGCAACTCAACAAGGTATAATAGAAACTAAGAACCTGCTCACAACCATTGGGAAAGGTTTTATAGAACAAGGAGTGATGGTCTGGAGACCTGTAGAGTGAGTAGGAGTTAGCAGCCAGGCAGCAGACAGAAGAAGGGAGTTCCAGGCAGTGAGAACAGCATGCTCAGAGGTGTGAGACAGCATCCCTTATTCTGGGAACTAAGTAGTTCTGAATGTCTGGAGCATAAAAACAGGGTCAGGAGGAAGGCAGGGGTGGTAGAGAGGTCAGCAGGGGCCAGATCATAGAGGGCCTTATGAGTCATGCTTAGGTGATTGGACTTAAAATTGCATAGCTCAAAATTATAGAGTTAATTACATTCCATTTGGATTATAGTGACTAATAAGCTTAAGCTGCTAGCATGACATCTGGCAGCATCTGTCACACCATATTGGTTGGGGGGGGCAGTTGGAAGTTAGCCCTGCCTGGCCTGCTAGTGTCTGTATGCTGGTTTCATATTCTGTGAGTTTCTGAAGAGATGAGGAGGAGAGTAATAGCAGGAATCTAGGATTTTTCTCTGTGTTTTTTACTACCCAAGCTCTGCCCCTTAGAGGTTCTGGAATCTTGGGGTGGGGGTACATGTGTGGGGGCAGTAGTTGGAAAGAGTTAAAGCCCATGGGCAACTGTGAGCTGAATACAGGCAGTATAACTGGCAATAATGATGGTAACTAAAATTTACTGAGTACTTACTGTGTCAGGCATGGCCAAAATACTGGCACACAGGTTGATGTTTATTACAAGCATTTATAGTTCCATTGGAAACTCTCCACTGCCCCCTGGGAATTAGGAATTTAGCCAATTATGTTACATTCATGTAAGTATTTGTGTAGTTTAATTGTCTTCAAATTTTGGTAATATGCAGACCCCCTTTAAAGATCTAAGATCCCCAGTGTTGGCTTAATACATATTAACTTTATACAAATTAACTTATTAAAAAATCCCCCAGTAACTCTGAGGTAATTACTATTATTATTTCCATTTTACAGATGAGGAAACAGAGACATGGAGAGTATAATTAACTTGTCTGAGATTACACTACTAGTAAATGGTGGAGTTGGAATACCAATCCTCTTATCCCACCACATTATATTGCAATGATGCCGTAGGAGACGGAGCCCAGCATTTGGTGATAGACCTGGGTTCCAGTCTCACATGTGCCATTTACTAGCTCGGTGGCCTTGGACCAGGTCTTTTACCTCTTGGCCCAAATTTCCTCATTTGTAAAATTAGAATAATTCGTGCTTGTGGAGTTATTGATTAAGAGGATTGGAGGTAATGTATGTAAACTCCACAGAAGCTTAATAAATAGGAATTATTGTAGCTGGTGGGTTCAGGTGGACCTTTTTGTGCCTCCTAGGAACTTGAGGGGGCTGTGGAGTTCTCTGGTGTTTAAAGGGGGATTAATGGAGTTTGGCCCAATCTCCCCTGCCTTTTGCCATATCCACAAGGCTAGGCTGAGGAACTTAGTTCTCCCACTTCAGGGGACAGTTTTATGTGGCTACAGGTGGATGAGCTGCGTGGTGAGTGAAATTCAGCAGTAACCAAGGCCCTGTGCCCTGGGCCTGGTTCTCCTTTCTCCCCACAGTTTGGAGTTTGAAAATCAGAAGACTCGCTTGGGTATCCAGTTGGATTTTGAAAAGAACCAACTGAAGGAAGACCAGGATAAAGTACACATGTGGGAGCAGACAGTGAAAAAGGATGAAAATGAGATAGAAAAGCTCAAGAAGGTAAGGAAGGAGAGCATGAAAAGACAGACTAAAAACTGTGAGGAAAAACTGGAAGAGATATGATAGACATAAGGGTAATATCCATAATTTACAAAGCCCTCTTCTAAGAAAAACACTAAAACCTAAATGGGGGAAAAAATAAGTGGCACGAACAGTTCAAGAAGAGATTCAAATAGCCCATAAACACATACACATAATGTAGCCTTATTTGAAATCAAAGAAATGCCAATTAAAGCAACAATCAAGTGTAGTTTATTTCCTATCACATTACCCAAGTTTTAAAAAACAAAAAAAAGGATAATACTTAATACTGGCCATGGCGCACGAGACCAGCATTCTTATGCCATGTGGCACCATCTATTGAGAGCCTTCAGAATACATTTATCCCCTCTAACTCAGTAATACCTGAGGAAATCCAAAATACTGGCACACAGGTTGATGTTTATTATAAGCATTTCTAGTTCCATTGAAAATTCTCCAGTGCCCCCTGGGAATTAGGAATTTAGCTAATTATGTTACATTCATGTAAGTGTATGTGTAGTTTAGTGATCTTCAAATTTTGGTAATATGCAGACCCCCTTTAAAGATCTAAGATCTCTAGTGTTGGCTTAAGAAATTCTTAATATTTTTAAATATATACAAACATACATACTTAGAACACTTAACCAAAAGCTGGGGCACACTTACAAATTGAATTTTCTAATTAACTATGTTAATTTAGCACAACAGATGATGGCGTGTTGCTGAAACTGAGTCCCTTTTCACAGTGTGCCTGTGCTGCTGACTGTCAGGGCTCATCCTTTGAGTCGAGCATGACTGTGCCACCGGGTATTGTCTGACGACTCACATTTCCCACACCTTCTCTTTAACTTCCTCTGAAACCTTTGTTCCTCACAGAATCTCCTCCTGAGGTGATTTGATCCTCTCTCGGTTTGAATGTATCATTTGACTTTTATGTCTGCTTATGTCTGTTGTTAGTTTTTTTCATTAAGCCCTGATGTTTAAAGTAGTCCTCTTTGGTGTCCCCAGAATCTTAAATGCAAATACAGATCTGGCAGTAAAATCCTGGAACAGGACTAGGTGGACATCTAGATGATCCAGAATCATATATTTCTATAACTTTGACTTTTTATTTTGAAGTCTTTTTATAAGAATAGTACAAAGAACTCCCATCTACCCATCACCAAGATTCATCAGTCATTAACATGTTGCCATATTTGCTTTTACATTGTCTATGTATGCACATTATTTTTTATGAGCCATTTGAGAGTAAGTTGCAGATAGGTCCCCTTCATGTGACTTTAAGATCAAAATGAAAACAAAACATTCTCCTTTAAAAAATCAGAACATTATAAGTAAGACTATAATCCCCTTTGACCACTCTTAGTCCCAGTCTCTTTACTCTTCCTGGGCTAATCCCATGTAGTGTATATTCTTCCAGACCTTGGAGGCATTTATGTAAATACTTTTACATTCATATATATGTACTCATGGAAAATACACAGTATTGTTTTTGTGGGTTTTTTAAAAAACATTGATGTCATATTGGTCATGACAGTTTTGATGTGGAAAAGATGCTCAAATATAGTATTAAGTCAGAATATAGAGTTTTAATTACAATCTGGTCTCAACTATGTGGAGCTGTCTGTAAGTAATGGTGGGAGGAAATATGCTACAACGTTAATTGGTTATCTCTGGCTGGTGGGATTACTAGTGATTCCCACCTCCCCCACTTTATACCTTTTCTATACTTTCAACTTTTCTACAGCAGGCAACTTGTATAATGCTGTATGAGGGAGGTCAACCAAATAATTTGGAAAAAGATAAAAGAAGCCTGAGGGATGATGGGGGTATGTGATATTGAGAGAGGCTCCAAGAAACCACCTGGTGGAAAGGGTGGGGGCTAGAGGAGATGGGGAAAGCCTTCACTTCTTGTCCTGTTCCCCCTGCTGGGACCAGGAGGAGCAAAGACACATGAAGATCATAGATGAGACCATGGCCCAGCTACAAGACCTGAAGAATCAGCACCTGGCCAAGAAGTCAGAAGTGAATGACAAGAATCACGAGATGGAGGAGATTCGTAAGAAACTGGGGGGCGCCAACAAGTGAGTGGGTTTTTGCCTGGGGTTGAGGGAAGTAGGTGGAGCAGGCAGCCTGCCGGATTTGGGTCTTACCTGTCTTCCTGGATCTTCTTAGGGAAATGACCCATTTACAGAAGGAGGTGACAGCCATTGAGACCAAGCTTGAACAGAAGCGCAGTGACCGCCACAACCTGCTACAGGCCTGCAAGATGCAGGACATCAAGTTGCCACTGTCTAAGGGCACCATGGACGATATTAGTCAGGAAGAGGTGAGTATTACAGCTAGTGGTGGGAGTGGGCTATGAACAACATTAACCAGGGATGGGGGATGAAAGTGGCCAGTGAGGGCAGGCGAGAGAAAGAGAGAGAAGATGGTGGCAGTGGGGGACATAAGCAGGGATGCAGGCGGGATGAGGCAGGGTGAAGCTGTGAAAGCAGGTGAGGTGAAAGGTAATAGCTTTGGTGTGAGAGGGAGGTTGAATTGGAGGCAGAGCCAAATGTCAGTAGGTAGTGAGGGAGGTAAGCCAGGAGAAGATGAAATCATTCATTAACCTTAGGGACTTGAGCTGTGTTGGCTCCAGTGGGTGATGTATATTGGTAGGCGTGGGAATTGAGGGACATTAGCCAAGAGCAAAGGAAGACAGAAGCTGGGGGACCTGAGAGATGATAGCCTAGCCGCAGTGAGGGAGGTTGGCCAGGAGAGAGTTGGGTAAGGGACATCAGCAATGCAGAGGTGACAAAGCTTAGTTATAGGAAAGGGAGGGACACTAGCCAATAGAGGAGCCAACGCATTTTCTCCACTAGAAGTGAAGCTTGTAGCAAGAGGTGGGGAATGTTAGCTGAGGAGGTTTGCTTTCTATCTTGTCTTAAAGACCTAGACATGTCTCTCAGTCCCACACGTCTTTTTCCCTCCCCTCTTCCCAAGTAGCATTTCTGTTTAATTCAGCAAAATATTTTGAAACCAGAAATGCGCTAGACATCATGGTAGCAGGTGACATGGTTACTTTGAATCCTAAGCACAGCCCTGCCAGCAGGCAGGCATTGTCCCGTGTTACAGATGAGGGAACTTGGGATCCGACAGCATGGTTTGTCCAGGATCACACTGCTAGGCAGTGGTAAAGCCCAATTCTGAACTCAGGTCTTTCTGCCTTCCAAGCTGCTGTCCTTCTCCTGCCAGTGCTTTCTAGTGAGGTGCTTCTCAAAGATGTTGAAGGCTGCAGAGGAGCCCCCAGCCCGCCTCTGGCGGGACACTCTCATGGCCAGTCTGCTCCATCTGACTCCCTCTCACTGATACAGGGTAGCTCCCAAGGGGAGGATTCAGTGAGTGGCTCCCAGCGAACTTCCAATATCTATGCACGAGAGGCCCTCATCGAGATTGACTACGGTGACCTTTGTGAGGATCTGAAGGTGAGGATCGGCCTCGGGGGGTGGGGACATCTTCCCAGCTGTCCAGAGAGAGGGTCAGCCCCTCTGGGGGCCCTGTGGAGACCACCGCTGGAAAGAAGGGAGAGCTGGCAAGGGAGGGAAGTCGAGTTATGACCCAGGGTCTCCCCCCGTATACAGACATGGGCACACATTTTGCCCTCACCCCTGCCTGCCGCCAGTCTTCCCCTTCCACACATGTACAGGTCTCAGGCCGGATCACACACAGAGAATGGGCTCCTGTACAGTGAACACATAGGCCTCAGGTGTTTCTCAGGGCGCTGTCCCAGGCACCCTTTCCTTCTCACTTTGTGTTCTCTCATCCTGATTGTCTTTTTTGATCTCTTTTACTCCCCTGGCTTCCGTTGCCATTGCTATGCTAGGTCCCACAGGTAGCTTCCTCCCCAAATCTGTCCCTTGTCCTCAATGCCAGCCACAGGTTCAAATCAGAAATCTGAGCCTTGTCCTTGACTCCCTCTCTCACTTTGCATATTCAATGAATTACCAAGCCCAATGCATTTTACCTCCTGAATATCTACTGTTTCCTGTTTCCACTCTCTCTCTGGTGCAGGCCACTTTCACCTCTCACATGGACTGCTGCAGGAGCCTCCTAAGTAGTTTCTGATGCTTTTCAATCCATCATTATAGCTAGGGGCACTTGATTTTTAAAAAACTTTTTATTTTGGAAATTTTCAAACATATACCGAAGTAGAGAGAATGATATAATGAAGCCCAGGTACCCGTCATCCAGCTTCAGCAATTAGCAACACATGGTCAATCTCATTTTTTGTTCCCTTCCCCTTCCCCATTGGACTGTTTTAAATCAAATTCCAGATATTATTCCATTCATAATTACCTTAGCATATATCTCTAGAAGGCCCCTTTTAAAAGAATGTAACCACAATATTGTACCAAAAAAATTTTAAAACTAACTCTCTAATATCATCTAAGATTTAGATTTCCATGAATGTCCCATAAATTTTTTTACACAGTTTGTGTGTTTAAATCAGGATTCAAGTGAGGTCCATATGTTAAAATTGATCTCTTCTAGTCTATAAAATTTTCTTAACCCTTTTTTATTTTTTTCTTTCTATTTATGGAAGAAACTGGCTCATTGGTCCTGTACAATTTTCTATGTTCTGAATTTGGCTGATTACATCCCATGTTGTTATTTAACTTTCCATCCCTGTATTTCCTGTAAACTGGTCGTTAAATCTAGGGTTTGATTGGGTTCAGGTTCGTTTTTTTATTTTTTTTATTATTTTTTTAATTTAATTTTTATTGACTTGATAGGTTACAATCTTGTGAAATTTCAGTTGTACATTATTGTTTGTCACTCGTGTTGTAGGTGCACCCCTTCACCCTTTGTGCCCACCCTACCCTCCCACCCTTCCCCCGGTAGCCACTAATCTGTTCTCTTTGTCTGCATTTTTAAATTCCTCATATGAGTGGAGTCATACAGAGATTGTCCTTCTCTATCTGGGTTATTTCACTTAACATAATTCCCTCAAGGTCCATCCACGTTGTTGTGAATGGGATGATTTTATCCTTTTTTATGGCTGAGTAGTATTCCATTGTGTATATATATATATATATATATATATATATATATATCACACCATATCTTTTTTATCCAGTCATCAGTTGATGGGCACTTAGGTTGCTTCCACATCTTGGCTATTGTAAATAATGCTGCAATGAACATTGGGATGCATGGGACTTTTGGAATTGCTGATTTCAAGCTCTTTGGATAGATACCCAGTAGTGGGATAGCTGGGTCGCATGGTAGTTCTATTTTTGATTTTTTGAGGAATCTCCATACTGTTTTCCATAGTGACTGCACCAGTTTGCATTCCCACCAGCAGTGTATGAGGGTTCCTTTTTCTCCACAACCTCTCCAACATTTGTTACTATTTGTTTTGGGTTTTTTTGTCATTCTAACGGGTGTAAGGTGCTATCTTAGTGTAGTTTTGATTTGCATCCTGATGATCAGTGATGATGAACGTCTTTTCATGTGCCTATCGGCCATCCGTATATTTTCTTTGGAGAAATGTCTGTTGATGTCTCCTGCCCATTGTTTGGTCGGGTTGTTTGATGTTTTGTTGTTGAGTTGTGTGAGTTCTTTATATATTATGGAGATTAACCCTTTGTTGGATGTATGACTTGCAAATATTTTTTCCCAGTTAGTGGGTTGTTTTTTTGTTTCAATCCTATTTTCCTTTGCCTTGAAGAAGGTCTTTAGTCTGATGAAGTCCCATTTGTTTATTCTTTCTATTGTTTCCCTTGTCTGAGAAGACATGGTGTCCGAAAAGATCCTTTTAATACTGATGTCAAAGAGTGTACTGCCTACATTTTCTTCTAGAAGCCTTATGGTTTCAGGTCTTACCTTTAGGTCTTTGATCCATTTTGAGTTTATTTTGGTCAGTGGTGAAAAAGAATGGACAATTTTCATTCTTTTACATGTGGCTTTCCAGTTTTCCCAGCACCATTTGTTGAAAAGACTTTCTTTTCTCCATTGTATGCCCTCAGCTCCTTTGTTGAAGATTAGCTGTCCATAGATGTGTGACTTTATTTCTGGGCTTTCACTTCTGTTCCATTGATCTGTGCACCTGTTTTTGTACCAGTACCATGCTGTTTTGATTACTGTAGCTTTGTAGTATATTTTGAAGCCAGGGATTGTGATGCCTCCAGTTTTGTTCTTTTTTCTCAGGATTACTTTAGCAATTCGGGGTTTTTTGTTGCCCCATGTGAACTTTAGGATTCTTTGTTCTATTTCTGTCAAGAATGTCATTGGGATTCTGATTGGAATAGCATTGAATCTGTAGATTGCTTTAGGTAGAACGGACATTTTAACTATGTTTATTCTTCCAATCCATGTGCATGGAATGTCTTTCCATCTCTTTATGTCGTCATCCATTTCTTTCAGAAAAGCCTTATAGTTTTTGTTGGGTAGGTCTTTCACTTCCTTAGTTAAATTCACCCCAAGGTATTTTATTCTTTTTGTTGCGATTATGAATGGTATTGTGTTCTTGAGTTCTTTTTCTGTTAGTTCGTTATTAGGGTATAGAAATGCTACTGATTTGTGTAAATTGATCCTATACCCTGCAACTTTGCTGTAGTTGTTGATTATTTCTAAAAGTTTTCCAATGGATTCTTTGGGGTTTTCTATATATAAGATCATGTCATCTGCAAACAGCGAGAGTTTCACTTCTTCCCTCCCTATTTGGATTCCTTTTATTCCTTTTTCTCGCCTAATTGCTCTGGCCAAAACCTCCAGTACTATGTTAAATAGGAGTAGTGATAGAGGGCATCCTTGTCTCATTCCAGTTTTCAGGGGGATGGCACTCAGTTTTTGCCCATTGAGTATGATGTTGGCTGTGGGTTTGTCATATATGGCCTTCATTATGTTGAGGTAGTTTCCTTCCATCCCCATTTTGTTCAGAGTTTTTATCATAAATGGCTGTTGGATCTTGTCAAATGCTTTCTCTGCATCTATTGAGCTGATCATGTGGTTTTAATCCTCAGTTTGTTGATGTGGTGTATCACGTTGATTGCTTTGCGGATGTTGAACCATCCCTGTGTCCCTGGTATGAATCCCACCTGATCCTGATGTATGATTCTTTTGATGAATTGCTGAATTCGGCTTGCCAAAATTTTGTTGAGAATTTTTGCATCTATGTTCGTCAGCGATATTGGCCTCTAGTTCTCCTTTTTCGTGCTGTCCTTCTCAGGCTTTGGTATCAGCGTGATGTTGGCCTCGTAGAATGTGTTAGGAAGTGTTCCATCCTCCCTAATTTTTTGGAATAGCTAGGAAAGGATAGGTATTAAATCCTCTGAAAGTTTGATAGAATTCCCCAGGAAAGCCATCTGGTCCTGGGGTTTTATTCTTTGGGATGCTTTTGATTGCTGTTTCAATCTCTTTCCTTGTGATTGGTCTGTTCAGATGGTCTGCTTCTTCTTGACTAAGCTTTGGGAGAGTGTAGGAGTCCAGGAATTTATCCATTTCCTCTAGGTTATCCATTTTGTCGGTATATAGTTTTTCATAATATTCTCTTATAATCCGTTGTATTTCTGCGGAGTCTGTTGTTATTTCTCCTCTTTCATTTCTGATTTTGTTTATTTGAGCTTGCTTTCTTTTTTTTTTTTTTGTAAGTCTGGCTAGGGGTTTGTCAATTTTATTTATCTTTTCAAAGAACCAGCTTTTTGTTTCATTGATCCTTTCTACTGCGTTTTTTGTTTCAAAAGCATTTCTTTCTGCTCTGATTTTTATTATTTCTCTCCTGCTGACTTTGGGCTTTATTTGTTCTTTTTTCTCTAGTTCAGTTAGGTGTAGTTTAAGATTGCTTATTTGGGATTTTTCTTGTTTGTTAAGATGTGCCTGTATTGTGATGAATTTTCCTCTTAATACAGCTTTTGCTGTATCCCATATGAGTTGGTATGGCATCTTATCATTTTCATTTGTCTCCAGGTATTTTTTGATTTCTTCTTTAATTTCTTCAATGATCCGTTGCTTTTTCAATAGCATATTGTTTAGTCTCCACATCTTTGTGCCTTTCTCAGCTTTTTTCTTGTAATTAATTTCTAGTTTTATAGCATTATGATCAGAGAAGATGCTTGTTATTATTTCAATTTTTTTAAATTTGTAGAGGCTTGCCTTGTTTCCCAACATATGGTCTATCCTTGAGAATGTTCCATGCGCGCTTGAGATTGGTATTCTGCTGTTTTTGGGTGAAGTGTTCTATATAGGTCTATTAAGTCCAACTGTTTTAGCTTTTCGTTGAGCTCCACTGTTCCCTTGTTGATTTTCTGTCTGGATGATCTGTCCATTGATGTGAGTGAGGTCATTTTTTATTTTTGGCAAGAAGATATCATAGGTGGTGCTGTGTGCTTGTGAACTTCCTTTTGCATCACATCAGTAGGCACTGAGAGTCAGTTGTCTCTTTCTCTGTAATGTTAAAATCGATGAGTGTTCAACATTACCTATG